ACACGAGTCTTGACAAGAGACGTTGGAGTCAAACTATCCTTAGTTTGAGTAGATTCGTCGCCAATCATCGTAAAATCGGAAGAGTATTTTGATAGAATGATCGAGATACTAAGGTCAAATAATTGAAAGAGAGAAAGAAAAAGGTAGATCGATACTCTGTTCTAGAGAAACAAATATCGATAAAGAGTTTGGGGACAGAGGATCGTAGAACCTAAAATTTTAGGTTAGGCTCTGATACCATGTCAAGAAACTAGGTTTTGTGTAAAGAGTTTCTTATTCATTAAGTTGTGAAGGCTTAGCCTTATATACACACATCGAAACCTAATTACAAATATGTAAATAGCTAAAGAATACATAGCTTATTGTTAATTACATATATTGCCCAATATGTTTTGCATGCAGAGCTTAAGGATGGTGGAACTGCTAGCAAAAACGGATTCCAAATCAGTTAGCATTTGCGGTCTTTTGGGCGTGTGGTTTGGTTACTTTGAGTTGAGTTCGTGGCATTTCCCTTATATCATTCATTTGAATTCATTTGACTCTTGTTTTGTATCTAGTCTTCACGTTTGCTCACGGCACAGTGTGTCTCCTCGTCTTTGAAATTCCTATCTCTGACAATGTCCGCTTGTAATGTATAACAATTAGCTTAGTTTTTTACGTCTCCGGTTTTTAGATGCTTCCCTCTTTTGGACGTTTGGCTCCGCGGACATTTCATAGTCCGCCGGCTTTTGGCTTTGGAGACATTTAGTTGTTTGCCGACTTATGGTGTAGGATTTGTGTATTTCACTTCCGCAATAACATGAGATGACAAAAAAAAAAACAACACTCTCTATCCTCTTGACATGTCAGCATACAAATAAATGCCACATGTACATAATTTTTTTAATTGTTTTTCTTTTAATCTTTTCATCATTTCAACTAGCCAAATGGGTGTGGATAGATAATTCTATGCTAGAGGCAGATTGAACCCTGACCTAGAACCATAACCCACAGAGCAACTCTTCCTCAAGTGAAAACCATTAGCCGAGCACCACTTGGTTCATCTACTAAAACTTAAAACCAATGTTTTTAATAGTTTCGTTGTTAGTCAACTATAGTGTTTGAATTGTTCCATCACTATGAGACTATGTCCGATTGTTCCAGTGTGTTATCCTCATTTACAGGTCATCACCAAATTAAAAATGAAAAACAACCGAAAACGGTGAGTGGACTTTTTTGATAGATGAATAAAATAAGGAGGAGTAGAGTTTGTACTTTTTGTGTTTCTCTTTTCTTAATAGCACGTTGTCTGTATTATCTTGACCATGATAAGCTGAAGGATTTCAGAAATACACAAAAGAGAAGAAGATGAGAGCTAACCGCTCTCTCTTGTTTGGCCTTTTTTGTGCCCTAGCCACCGCCATATTAGTTGACGGCCAAAGTCAATCAGGTTCGCTCTTCTCTTCTCTGATTTTATTTTGAAATTGAGCAATGTTCAGAATGAAGAAGCTTGTGTTTGTCCTTAAAAAGGATATTTAATCCTGTCTAGGAATTTTAGTCAAAACGTTATACAATGTCTTGTCTTGCAAGTGATCATGGAATTCACTCTTCTCTCAGTTTTTTTTTTCCTTCCTTATTTTGTAAATTGAACAATGTTCTTGAAGATGCTTGAAAGTTGTGATGTATATTTTTTTTCAATATCTACAAATGAAGTTAGGCAGAATTTTAAGTCATAGATTGGAAATTTGGCTTAAAACGTTCTCAAAACATCAAAAATTTTGCATGTGTTGGAAGCAATCTCTCTTTCTTCTCCTCTGATTCAGGTTACATCAGTATCGATTGCGGCGTAGCTCCTAACAAAATTGAGAAAGACATTGTTACTGGTATCTATTACTCTTCTGATGATTCTTTCATAACCACCGGAGTAAATTTCAACGTCTCTGAAGAATACGGTTACCCGAAAAACCTCTTTTTGCCCTACCCTCTTGCTGACTTAAGAGCTTTCCCTCAAGGAAACAGAAACTGTTACACCTTAAATCCTTCAGAAGGAAAAAAAAATCTTTATCTCATCAGAGCCTCCTTTATGTACGGGAACTATGATGGTAAAAATGGTCTGCCCGAATTCGATCTCTACCTAAACGTGAACTTCTGGTCGACAGTGAAATTCAAGAATGCTTCTGATCAAGTCTACAAAGAGATCCTAAGCTTTGCAACGTCAGAGACAGTATACGTTTGCCTTGTGAACAAAGGTAAAGGAATTCCTTTTATTTCAGGCTTGGAGCTCCGGCCAGTGAATAGCTCAATCTACGGTACTGAATTTGGAAGAAATGTCTCTTTGGCTCTCTATCAAAGATGGGACACTGGATATTTAAACGGAACAGGACGGTACCAGAATGATATATATGACCGTATCTGGTCTCCATACACCCCGGTTTCTTGGATTTCAACCAAGACAACTGAGTACCTCGACATTTTCCAGAGCGGTTATAGGCCACCAGATGAAGTTATTAAGACAGCTGCTTCGCCTAAAAGCGGTGATGGTCCATTGGAAATTGTCTGGACATCAGAGGATTCAAATGCTCGGTTCTATGCATATCTTCATTTCGCGGAACTAGAAAAGCTCGAGAAGAATGAGAGTCGAAAGATCAAGATTTTGTGGAACGGTTCCCCTGTTTCCGAAACTTCTTTCCTTCCTTCTTCGAAATATTCAATGACGTTTTCTAATTCAAGAGCTTTCACTGGTAAAGATCATTTGATTTCTGTTCAGAAAACCGAAGATTCTACGCTTCCACCAATTCTCAATGCTATCGAGATCTTTACCGCACAATCTCTTGATGAATTTTTCACTGCAATTGAAGACGGTGTGTTTCATCTCTGACTACAACCTGTTAGTTTCTTATCCTTGACTCTACTTAAACTCATAGTTCCTCTTGTTAATTCAGTTCACGCGGTAGAAGATATCAAATTAACGTACAAAGTGAATAAGGTTTGGAGTGGGGATCCTTGCTCCCCAAGACTATTCCCTTGGGAAGGTATTGAATGCATCTACAACAATCCTAATTATCATATCAAATCCCTTAATCTTAGCTCAAGCGGATTACAAGGTCCAATAGCCTCTGCATTCAGAAATCTCAAATTTCTTGAGTCATTGTAAGTCATCACATACAAACCTTATATTGACACTTTTTACCACTTTATTCACATTAACTATAAGAGAGGTATGCAATTGTTTTTCCCAGGGATTTATCGAACAACGGCCTACAACAAAATGTGCCAGAGTTTTTGGCTGATCTGAAACATTTGAAGTTCCTGTAAGTTATAGGCTACAACTTGTCTATATTGAAAATGAATTTGCCTCTTGACACATTTACTTGTGTTGCAAGGAATTTGAAAGGAAATGATTTTACTGGCTTTATCCCAAAATCTCTTATGAAAAAATTGAAGGACGGTGTGCTTGCACTCAGGTAACATTATCTATCATTTAAAGAAATTCAACCCAAGAA